CCACTGACACAAAGTTCAAGCCTTATTTATATGCCTCCCTCTCTGGCAGCAGGGAGAGGCACGCAGGCACCCGGAGCTGCCCGGCCTAGAGCAAAGCATGTTAAAATTGCAGGCTGACACCGTGCGTTTCGGGGGGTTTCCTGGTGCTGCTGGCAGGGAGACGCAGTAGGAAATGCTGTGATCTGTATCCCAGCCTAGTGTAAGGTGGGGGCAAATTGTGCACCTTTGCCAGAGGGAGCAGCCTGCTTTGTCTCTCGCTGGTTTTGGATTTGTGGGGGTGGCGTTTGGGATTCTCAAACAGAAAGCTGTGTTACGCTGCAGGCTGCCAGCAGGCGCGGTTATGGTTGCACCTCGATGCCGTGCCCGCCCTTTGCAAACTAGCCTATAAAATCATTTGCAGAAGATATTTGCACAACAGCAGCGTAGAGTCTAATTGCCCCCCCCACCCTCCCACCCCCAGCAGCAAACCTACATCAAACTGCAGCTCTCCCGCGTGTTAACCCACCTCACCCATGGAGACAGAAAGTGAAGCAGTTTCATTGCGCCCAGCCCACCTCAACTGAAACGCTGTTGATTCAGAAGAGCTCCCACCAGCCTGCAAGGTGACCTTGGGCAAGTCAATTCCCCCCTCTCTGTGCCTCAGTTTCCCCCTCTGCAAACTGGGGCTGGCCCTACCGGCCTCCTGTGGCAAGCACTGTGGTTAACGGTGGTGGGTGAGCGTTCAGGCTCATGCCACAGCGCCGCAGGGGAGAGGGGGAATAAGGACCCTTTGAGCTCCCCCCTTGAGCTCCTCACCCCCCCTCCCCAGGCAAATGGGAACGTCAGCTCACTAAAGAGGAAAGAAACCAGGGGCTGGTTTGGTGCATTTAAAGTTTTATTCAGTCACTGGGGTCTGGAAACAGCCAAACGCCCGCGGGGGAGGGGGTGAAGGGGGGGGGGGGTCTAAGGCAGGGTTTTGACACAGCTAAGGCCAGGCCAGGCCACCTCCCTCCGAGCAGGTTCCTCCTCGTCCCGGCCCACAGAGCACAACCCAAACCCAGCCCCGAGGCGTTCGCCGGCCCTGAAAGCCCCCCAAGGCCATCACCCAGCGGGGACTCGGGCTCTGCTTGAGGAGTGGGACCTTGAGACATCTCCCCTCCGGCAGAAGAGCCCAGCATGAGCCTTTCCGCAAACCCTGCTCCCGGGCCAAGTACCTCACCCTCAGCAGCTCTGCCTGGACCTCCGCCCCGTGCCCTGACTCTGCCCCTGCTCCCAGGGGCCCCTGGCAGGAGGGGGAGCAGGCCCTGCACGTGGGATTTGCAGCAGAAAGTGCCTGCAATGAAAGGGGGGGAAACAGCTGGTTCAACGGCCCTTCTGGCAGGTGCAGCCACACACAGCGACTCGGTGAGCGCACTGCAGGCTGCTCCGCCCCCCAAGAACCTGCTTGTCTAGACCCAGCGCTGGGGCAGCACGTGGCCTCGATCCTCCACTGGAGTCAACGGGATGTGGGGCGAGAGCCCTGGGATTTTCGCACCAGCCAAACGCCCAGGAGAGGGAAGCCCTTCGCCAGCTTTGCGTTTGCTCCCTGCCCCAGCTCAGTGTCTTACCCCCCCGAGGTCACTGGTTCAAACTCCACCGTGTAAAGGGGAAGCCAGGGCAGTGCCAGCTGGGAGGGACGGCAAAACCTGGTCCAAGCTGGCTTAGAGAACAGCATTGGGGACGCCGGAGGCCTGTCTCCACCAGGGCACCCCATATTGCTAGGGTTATTGTTACCAGCAGTTCAGCTCCAGGGGAAGCTTGCCCCCCCCCAAAAAAAACAAAACCACCACCACCCCTTCCTCCTAAGGCTTGCAGGGCAGACTGAACTGTGATGGGGAGGGCAGGACAGATGGGCCTGGGGGCTGCTCCATGGAGAAAGAAGCCACTCTCGCAACAGCTCCCCCTAACCCTCCAATACCTCGCAGCTAAGAAATCCCAACTCGTCCTTGGCCCTACAACTTTCAGCCCCCCCCCCCCCCCCAAAGCCATCAGGAAAGGAGGAATTTACCAGAAGGGAGAGCCGCTGCCGGGGGGGGGGGGCGGGGGGAAGGTAGAACTTCCTTCTTGCATTTTGATTGTTTCTATGAGCATAAAAGGAACTTGCCGAAACATTTAGAAGCAGGGGTGTTAAACGAGGCAAGTGCCAGGCAACCAGTTTAGCACCATCTGAAGAATTTGTGTAGAAACAGGCCACACATCTGGAAGGTAAGGGGGGGGGGGGGAAGGAGAAAACACATAAGGCAGACAATGAACAGAATCAAGGCAGGTGGGTTTAGCTCTTGGAACCACAGTTAGGACAAGTTTCACCTGAGCAGTTTTCAGGCAGGGTTTTTCCAAGCTTAGCACCCAAATCCCACTGGAGTTGGTGTTTAATTCCCTTCGGTTCCTTTGAAACATCCCAGCTTGTCCCTATTCAATTCCTCCCCCTTGTCTCACTGGGGGGGGGGGGGGGGGGGGGGGGGGCAAGAGACTTGGCTAGAGCTCAGAAACCCACAGGTCCTTCGCGAGCAGCAGGAGCAGGGCTGGGGCCTGTAATGCTGAGACCAGGGCAAACATAATTAACAGAAAAATTCCAATTCACTAAACCTGCTGCAGGCGAGCCAGGCACCCGTCTCCACGTCAAAAATCATGGGTGCAATTTTTAAGCTCCTTTCCCTTTGCGACAGGGCAGCGCTCCTGGCTTTCGGCAGGAGACGGACTCCTGCAGAGGCCAGCCGGTGATAGAGGAGACTGGGAGGAGAGTAAACTGATTTCTGGACGCACCTCTGCCAGGGAAAGGGAACGTTCTCCACGTTGCAGGCTCTGTCCGCTGGGCCTGACCCAGAGACTAGGGGGAAGGCTTTGTCCATCCCAATAAAAATCTCTCTCTCTCCTTCCATCCATCACTTGTTGGTAAAGCCAAGAAAGACGTGTGGAATTAACATCTGGAGCCCCAGTCCCTTAGCAGCGCCCTAGGACACAGTACAGAACTCTCCTCCTTACAAAGGTCTCTGAATTTGAGAGAAAGGCACCAGTTCACGGTGGATTGAAGGCCCAATATTAGAAGCTGGTTTAGGTAACAGAGGACAGAAGCTGCAGAACACAACCTAGGTTCCGGGTAGTTTGCAGTCATTTTCATATCCAAGGCAACAAAGTTTAGAGAGAAAAAGTTACCAGAGGGTGTTTTTTCCTTCCTTTAAGAGTCACTTGGTTGAAATAAGTACGTGCGGTTTGGGGCTATGTGAGTGCAGCCAACCTGAGCCTTATTCTGAAGTCACATGCGAGACTTCGGGGGACGCATTCAAAATCATTGCAGAACAAGTTCAGGTTTGGTTACAACGGATACTACAGGCGAGGAGGGGGATAAAACCGACCGCAGCGTATTCTGATCCATCTCTGACTGCAAGCAATGAAGGCTGCCCCACAGCGCATGCAGCAGCCCTTGCTTAAATCAGCAGAAGAGTCATGCTCCAGGTAGCTAGCGTCTAATGATTGATCGTATTGCATCCACCAAGCTACCATCAAAACCCCTTACTGAAGGGTAAGTGGCTGGGAAGTAATGGCTTTTGTAAAAGTGCAAGGGTAAGGGTTATCTTTGGCTGTGGAGCCAGACGGTTACATTTAAACATATGGATTATGCTGTTAAAGAGAGCAACTGACAGAGATCAATAGATTAATATATGCCACACAGTTAATGATTAATATCAGCCAGGCAATTTACAAGTAGGTGCGCCCAATGGGGAGATAACCTGGAAACATGCAGGCTACAGAACTTGTAAGAATCGCCTTTAGTTTTTATTTTATATATATATATATATATAAAAATAAACCAATTCAGGAAAGCATGGCCTTAGCTTTGAGCACATGCTTAAGGGCTCATGCAAGTCAAACTTTCCTGAATTGAGAGTCAGAAGAACTGGAGGGGAGAAAAAAACAAACAAAACACACCACCCCCACATTACCCACCCCCCCCATTAGAAAGGGAGATGTGACTCATTCAGATTCTATACTAATTACAAAGAGAAGGACACACTGAAGTTTCTACGGATCGTTTCCATTCCAAAAATTTAATTGATCATATTAGACTAGAAATTTTAACACTTAGATTTTTTTTTTTAAATCTGTGACACTTCTCGACTGTAGGCGACACTTTTCCCCAGTAGGCGCTGGTTGTGGCACGGAGTCCGGTCAGTAGTGCAAACATCCCTTTAGATTTGTGAAAGATTTGATGGCAGGTGGAGACACCCCCCCACAAAAAACAAAATAGAAAGAGGGGATGAAGGATGAAATTAACTCAGCAAACATCAAGAAAATAAATAAATCATATTTTACATACAGGAAACAGCTCCAACCAAACATATACAAACACACACAGGCCATTGTGTGTGGCAATAGATACTATCTATACGCTGTACACGGATATTTACACCCTTCACAATAAGGAAGAAGTTGAATCTGTCACAGCTTCAGGCCAGAAGGGGCGCGTTCTTTGCGTTGGTCGGTAGCCTTGTTCCCTGGCCCGAGGGAACGGGAGTGCTACACCAAGGCGGGAGAGTTGTCCCTTTGTGATCTTTAACCTTTAGATCTCGTAACATTACGGCGGCCTCCCTGCACTTTTATCATTAAAACTCATCCGTGCAGAATCCCCCGCCGCAGACAACGGGGAAGGGACCAACTCAGATCAGAAAGGCCACATTGAAGCCCTGATCCTGCGAACGTTCGTGAGCAAAGTCGCTCCAATGCAGGACCGGGCTATCAGTCCATATACGCGCATAGGGACTGCCAATAACTCAAGTACGCGTTCGAGCATGGGTCGAAAAGAGCTCCATTGCTCATGAAGGCTTAGACGACTTTTCGTTCTGGGTATTTTTGGTAGGGTGCAGAATCGAGCTGACTCAAGTCCTGCACATTTTTTTTTGTTTTTGTTTTTTAAATAAAAAGGCAGTTCCAGGGGTGGGGCTGTAAAAAAGGATTCAAAGCAGAAAGGAGGGGAAATAGGGGGGGGGGCGCGCGCAGCTGGCTTAGACGTTACCAAGACTCAAAGTGCTAAGGCATGTGGCAACCGTTAACGGTAAGAAGAGTCAGGCCACGCTCGCATGGCGTACGTTCCCTACTGCCCCGGCCAGCACAAGCGGTTCCTCTCTGCCCTCCCAGCCAGACACAGAGGCTAATGCAACGACACCTCTTTGAACCCGACCTGGATTTCTTCCTTGCGGCCCCCGCCAACCCTGCAGCGCAAGAGGGAGGGAGGGAAAAAACAAAAGACCGTGCAAAAAAAAATACACAACCCCCCTGAAAAGAACCCCAAAAAAGTGCAAGGCGGGTGGGGGAAGAGGTTCCAGCGTTTGAACCCGGCGATGACAATCGGCACCCACCGGCCCATCTCCGAGGAACCGTCCTGTTCAGCATGAGCCATGCCAGCGTCACCGACCGAGAGAAGCACCTGGGTTGTGCCATATCTGCCCGGGGGCGGGGGGAGGGTCTGAAGACTTATCCTGCTTGGGAAAGGGAGATGGTACATTGTGCGTGTGTCGGGGTGGGGGGCGGGATTCCAGATCTAAGCAAACATCCATTCCCCAGAGGGGGCGCACGCAGACAGACACGGAGTACAGATGTGATGGCAGCACCGATTTGGTTTTTAAGTCCCTGATACAGATCTGGCTCCATCCTTCCTCCCTGCCGTTAGTCCTTTAGTGACATCGACCAGCTGTAGGCGTGGGGGGACTCCCAGCTTACATCCAGAGACGTTGTGTTTCTTTCCACCCGCCCGATTTCTTTTCTCCTTCACACGCAAGAAAAATTCTCCTCCTGTCCCAGATCAAACGGAAGAAAACCAGCAGGTAGGTCCGCGGGGGGAAAAAATCGACGGCATCGGATACAAAAAGTATTAAATATATAAAACATAAAAAACCCAAGAGTCAAACCACATGCGTCTCCTCCCCCGAGCGCCAAGCAACCAGTGTGTTGGGGGAGAAGCAGCGCAGGCTCATCAAGGTACTCAGGAAGTGGCGCGGCACTGCGGGCGGGTTGGATGGTCGTTAAAGAATCAAAAAGTCCGGGGGGAGAAAGACGTGGCGCGTCCCTCCCTCCCGTGAAACGAGCAGCAAAGTCTGGCAGGAGGCACCTCCCAGGTTCACGCAACGTCGTCTTCCAAGCTGACGATCTGTCTCTGTTAAGGAAACACATTTCAGCCGTTACCAAAGGTTTCTCCTTCGGACAAGCTACGGGGCAGGGATCTAGCTACGCCTCAGAAACCAAACGAAGCCGCTGCTTCAGACTTCAGGGTTTGTCCCTATTGGGTGAAGCTCTGACTAGCCAGGGTGTATCGGCCATTGGGAAATAGGATGCAGGAACTTCTGCTTCAGAAATTGCTTGTGCTAAAGGAGAACTCCCCTTAGCTGCTGGCAGTATAGGGGCTAGGACACAGTTAAGCTACTCCGATTCCAATTGGGTAGGGGGCAGTGTATTCCCAGGCATCCTGAGAAGGTGTGAAATATTATCGGTGAGACGAGCAGTGACTTTGCCAAAGCCCCAAGCTGGGTGGGAAAAAAACACCCAAAACTTTTGACAAAGCAGATTCAGCGACCCCGCAAATGTGTCTCAAATACAGGAGTCAATTTCCCTGCATCTTTTGAAGCAGCCAACTTTAGCACGTCCCACATGAAATGTTTGGGTTTGAAACAGCTTTTTGTCTAAGCAATTCCTTTCAGAACCAAGACAGCGGACAAAAAACCCAGAAACTTATTTTTTGTGTTTTCAGAGTTGCTGACAAACCAAACCCAGTTTTTGGCCCAGCTCTGCTCAGACGTTCCTGGCTGCCAGCCCTGCATACAGGCCACGCCTGCGGCTCTTGGAAGACAGCCAGGGGACATACTTGGACCATGGGCTCCTTGCCACCTGCCTCTCCGCGGGGACTGCAGACCTCCCGGCTCGCGTACTCTGTTTTGCAGCTGGATTTTGGAGGCGAGCGAGAGGCAGGGAGCCGGCTTACCGATGGGTACGTGTATCCATCCTGGCTCCGACAGATGTGAACCTCGTCCTCGGTCGTTTTCTGATAGACGGGGTTGTCGAAGTTGATGCTGTTGATGTTCTTGAGGCGCCAGTTCTTCCACACCAGGAACGCACCGAAGGCGATTAAGCTAATGAGCACTGGGGGGGGAAAAAGGGGAGACATTGTAATTGCTGGAATTAAACACAAGACCCAAGAAGTTCTATTCAACCCCCGCGAGGCAATGGTACAGTCCAGATCGATTCACCACGGACGATGCTGGGATGTGAAATCCCCACGGAACACAGAGGTCAGAGCGAATCGCCAATGGGAGGGAAGGAAGGCTCAGAGGTAACTGAGGTCTCTCTCTCTGGTACTTAGACCCTGCTGATGGGGACTACGAGTGCCTCACAATGTGTTCATCTCCACAGCAGCGCTGCTATTCCTCATTGCACCGATGGGGAAACTGAGGCAGGCACCCACCCCAGGGATCCCTAACGCATTCCTAGGAGAAATTCCTTCCCGACTCCAGACCAGGGCAAGCCGCTGAACCCGATGACCACGGCCAGACGCCTCAGCAGCCAAGGCGAGGAACAGCCAGGATCCAAGCCCCCGACGATTTCGTTTGCAGAGAAAGGAGGCTGCTCAGGGAAGCCAGCGTCTTAGGAACAGGAACTTACCCAGTGGCAAGACAACGGAGAGCGCAGTGGGGCCGCTGTGCTTGTCCTGGTTGGTCTCAGCAGCCACGTCGTTGCGAGCTGGAAGAGGGGAGAAGCCAGTTAGCATGCAGCAGAGGATGGGGCTGGTGGAAAGTATGGCTTGTCCATCCCAGGAGCTGTACAGAAATCCCACTGGTCACAGCATCGGACAGAGCGACTGGTTGACTCCCAGCTCTTCTGCCACTGATTGCATCAGACCCCTTTTACAGGTGGGGAAACTGAGGCACAGAAGCCCAGTGACCTCAGGCAAGTTGGTGCCTAGGCAGGATTAGAACCCAGGAGTCCCAACTCCCATTCTCCCCTGGCGTCTACTCGTGAGACTACACTCCTCTTCCAGAACCAAAAATAGAAGACAGGTGTCCCGACACCAAGAACACCCAGCTCTAACCATTAGACCACGCTGCCCTCCCCGAGTTGGGAGCATAGCCCAGGAGTCAGGACTCCCAGCCCCCTCTGCTCTAACCGCTAGACAGCATTTCTAGCTATGGTTCTGGACAAGGGAGGATGTTGGGGGGTGGGGGCGCGAATAGAAAGGCATTCTTACCCTGCTGGGAGAGAGTGACCATCTCGGACGTGGTGAGGTCAGGGCCGTCCCTGGCATGCGTGTTCGGCACCCCAGCCGTGGCAGCCGGTGGCCTTGCTGTCTGCTTCAGCGCGCTGGTCGTGGTGAGCAGCCGGGCCAGAGGCGTGGTGCTGGGGGCGGCGGGGACTTCCGGATCTGGGAAGGGAATTTAATGCTTAGCGGAGGTTTCTCTGCCCCTTTTACTGGCAGCCTCGGGAGGTCAAGTGACTTTCCCTGTGTGATGCTGGGTGTCAACAACCACACTGAGAATAGGACCTAGGAGTCCTGGCTCCCCACTCCCTTGCTCTAACCACCAGGGAACACTCTCTCCCTCTCCAACAGGACCGGGCCGTCTACAGAAAGCTCGGCACAGATGCAGCGGGACATGCCATTGAGCTGGCACCTGGCCCCCCCAAGCGTTGGCCGATTCCCCCACGTACCTTTGGTGCAACTCCTCATGTCCACAGCGAGGTGCAGGGCATCGGGGCAGGCACAGGTGTACTTGGGCGAGTGGCGTGTGATCTGGGGGGCCGGCAGGCACAGGTACTCGCAGCCGCCGTTCGGGAGAGGCTGGTTCTCGCACCAGTTGATGCCTGGGAGGGCACAGAGAGTATAGACCTGAGCACCGAAGGCGACGGGGTGGGGCTGCGGAGACGGACGGAGGGATTCTGCAAGGAGATCCCAACGCGGGGGCAGAGAGTCACGCGGCCCACACGCCCCGGTTCGTACCTGCCGGCTGTCGCAGGTTGTGATACAGGACGATATCTTCTGGGGAAAACAAGTCTTCCGCCACCAGGGTGACGTTGGCGCCGGTCAGACGGTTGGCGCTGAAGATGGCTTCATTGAGGATATCGGTCCAGAACACTTTATCCTGAAGTGGGATTCAAGATGGAGAATCAAAAAGACGCCCCCCTCGTTAGCCACTGGCTCCTCCCGACACCCACCCACCGCAAAAACCCAACAGCATGTGCCAGTGACGCGAGCAAATATTGAAAGAGGCAGCAAACGCCTGGCCTTTGTCTCCAGAACACGTTGCATCACTAAGCTCTGCACGGTGCAAGGTCCAGGCAGTCCCCCACCTTCCTCCTCTAAGGGGGATAGTCGACCCGACGGACTGAATCAGGGATTGAAGAGAGGCTAGAGATTTAGCGACGTCCCCATTCGGACCAGCCCCTACGCACAAAGCACTTCAGCTATAAGCTCCTGGGACTGGCTTTTCCATTGCGTCTACACAGCCCCCAGCAGAACGGGGCGGTGCCAGACCGGATTGGAGCCTGTACTGCAATGTCACCCACCAACACAATCTCAGTGTAGCTACCGCAGGGGCCGGGACAGGCAGAGGCTTAGCTCGGAGGTGAACGTTTTCCAAGAGCGACTAGCAATGCCTGCGGGTCCTACTTGAGATCCCTTAAAGTGGCTGGGATTTCAGGGGGCAGGTTCTCAGCGCCTGCTGGGGGGGCAGGGAAAAAAGCCAGGCCTCTTTCGAGGGGTCAAGTCAGGCAGTCCCAAAGAGGCACCCGCGTCACTAGCTGCGTTTGAAAGTGGGGAGACGCCAGGGGCAGGTACTTGGATTTTGTGCCCGGGACGTTTAAGTTTCCACCGTGGATTTCGCGAGGCTGATCCAGACAGAGGAGCTTCGACCCAAGACTCACCTCAAAGACGGTGACGGCGAAAGGGTGAGCCAGTCTCTCCTGGTCCTCGAGGACCGTTTTCCTGCTGCCCCCGTTGACGCCCACGCTGGAGATGGAGTGCAGCTTGGAGTCCACCCAGTAGAGGCGCTGGTTTACCAGATCTGAAAGAGACCCGGGCACGGTGAAGGCTCCAGGACAGCAGAGATCTCGCAGGGAGCTGGAGCACTCAGCTAAGAGGCCTTCTAAACAAGTCAGACTCCCCATTCAGCCAAGCCACGGAGAATCCAGCCACGTGAAAGGAACACGTTACGCTCCAGTCTGTGCGAATGTTCCCGTAGCTTTGGGGAGTGAAGAGCTGCCAGAGACCCAGCAGCACTCCTCGTACGCGTGCCTGAAACCTCCGCGTGGCCGAGAGGTCAAAGGAACCCGATCGAAACGGGACACGTCATCAGTCGACTCAGGAGCCTCGCTTCAGACAACGTCTGGCCTTAGGAAGATCTATATTTAGGTGCCTAAGTAAGTGGACTGGACTGATTTTCAGAAGCTCCCAAGAAACTCACTCCCTGAGGAGCTGAGTTTTGGGCTCCCAGATTTGAAAACTTGGCCAATAAACTCCCCTCTGTGTGGGTTACTGCCCCCCGCAAAGCTCGTTACACTGGAAAGAGCTTTAAGCATCTTATTGATCCTCTAGCCCTGATGGTGGTTCTCCGACCCATAGAAACGTTGGGCTGAAAGGGGTCACTGCATCCCGGCGCCCAGGCCAGTGAAACCACACTGGTCAAACTCCCTTTGGTTTCCACCTGCGTTCTCCTCCCCAGGCGCTCCTCAAGGGAATGTTCCTTCAGTTCTGTGCGCGCCCTTCTGGCGGGGAACAGTGAGACCCACAGACCCCCCCCCCCCCCCCGCCCACATACCTAGAGTTATTCCATTGGGCCATTCGATGCCGTCTGTCACCAGCGGGAAGCTGTCCACGCCATTCAACCCGCTCTTGGCAATCTTGGCAGAAGTCCCCCAGTCCGTCCAGTACATGAAGCTGCCAGGAGGGAGGCACAAGGAGATTAGAAAGCACCGCTCACCGGGGACCCGCTAAGCTAGCGTGACACGGGGGAGACAGCTCCGAGTCTGGGCATGGAGTTCAAGCCCATCTCCTGCCAGGGCATCCAACATCTCATCTGTCTGTGTTGCTGAGGGAACTGCCGCTTCCCCTCCTCCTGTTACACACGAGACGGCTTTAAAGCTACGTACCCGTGGCTGGGGTCCACCACGATGGCACGTGGCTTGGAGCCGGGCTCCTCGATCAGGGTCTTCCTCTTGGCGCCCTCCCTGTCGGCCACGGAGACGGTGCCCAGCGCCGAGTCCGTCCAGTAGATGTTCCCGTGGACCCAGTCGACGGCGATGCCGTCGGGGGCTCGGAGGCCGGTGCTGATCACAGTGGTGTGGTGGGTAGAGTTGTCAGCCTGGTCTAGCCGGGTGCTGCGGGGGAGAGGAGACGGGTTAGAGCCGGGGGCTCGGCCCCAGCGGCACTGGAGGAGCAGTACCAAGCACGTCCTTGCAGCGGGGCCGCGGCTGAACAGAGACAACGGGCCAGCTGGCGCAGCGCCAACGAACTCCACGGAACTGCGTCGGGTCAAGGGCAAACTCTGGCACTGGTGAGAAGACACCAGACCAACAGTCCTGAAGACAGACGGCCTCTAGGCGCAGGACAAGGACAGCTTAGGGAGCAGCGGGGCCAGGTTTCCCCCAGCCTGTCCCAGCACGCATCACCCCTCCCAGCCTAGGGAGGAGACCTCACAGGCATCTCTGCTGGGGCTACCACGATGGGGCTCATGGTTTCACTATGTGGACCCCCCCCTCCACTGGGAAACGTGATTAGCTTCTTTGCTGGAGGGTCTACCAGCTGGGGGTGGCTTTCACACCCTGCTGGGGCGGGTTCCCACGGCTCAGTGTGGTTCTGGGGCCCCACCCGTCGCTAGCAGAGCCAGGCTGCCCCGGCTTTACCTGTAGATTTTCTTCTGAGACAGGTCAGACCAGTAGATTTTGCGCTCGGCGATTTCCAGGTCCAAAGCCACCACGTGTTTCAGGTGGGAGATGAGGCTGCCGTAGTCGCTGCGATCCAGCGTCATGCGCCGCACTTCGTTGCGGTTGGTGAAGAAGAGGTACGCGATGGTGCCTGGCAGGGCCGGGAAGGAAGAGAGGGGCCATGAGCCAGGGCCAGCAGACAGTCACGCTAGCTTAGACCCGGGCAAGATGTGCCAGGTCCCCGTCATGAACGGGAAGAGGGAACCGCCAGGCAGAGCTGGAAGTTCACAGCGATAGACAGTCTAATACCAAGACACCTGCTGTCACCATGGCCACAGCCCCCATCCCACAGGGTGCTTTCCGCCTGACACCGCCAGGCACTGGGAAATAGACAGTCGGTTTCTCATTAACCACTCCGTTTTCTTAAGCAAACATCCTTCTCTCAGATTCCGTGAGCGTCACCTGATCTTAAGGCAGGGAAGTGTCTTAAAACCAGGGACTGCTGAGAGACAGACCTGGGATGGGCACCGGGCAGTCCTGAAACAGCCTGGCTTCACGGAGGGACTAGGAACCAGATGCTGCAATGCACTGGGAAGCAAACCCCAGTTTTCCAAGAACACGGCAGTATTTTTTAAAAGCCCAGCCTGGCCAAAAGACAGACACAGGAGTGTAGGTCACAAGCGGCGTCCCCAAGAACCGGGAGTTGCTGACTTACCGATGGCTTTGCAGGTTTTGGTAGTGAGGTCAAGCTGGTAACCTTCGTTACATTCACACTTGTAACTTCCCTCCAGGTTCACGCAGATCTGGCTACACGTGTCGGGGTTCAGACACTCGTCAATATCTGCAAACCCCAAGAGGAAGCCGTTAAAAACCCCTCGAAACGCAAGAGACCGGATGCCCCAGCAGGGATTTTAAATAGAGAAATAAAGTTATTTCTTTTTTAACTCCCGGGAGGCAGAGAGCCGCATGCGTTTGCTGTGTCTCAATCCCAGGGGAGCATTTCAGTTTGAGATACTCAAAAGGGGTCTTGCCAAGGTAGACCGGGGAGTGGGCTTCAGAACGGGAGCTACATCTCCCACCGTAATAAAAACCGGCTCGCCCCGATTTCAGGGCTAGGGATGGCGGCCAGAGCCAGAGGTCGCCTTACTCATCAGCAGGGCACGGTGGAAAGTCAGCGCTCTACACTGAGCGAAGCCACCTGCACGGCAAGGGGGGACTGGCCGTCACACGCCTGTTGCCACCCAACAGACGTGCCTTTGCGCGGAACGTGGCTAGATCAGGGTGGAGTAGGACCGCCACTGGCCGGCCGCGGTGCCGTTGGGAGCGGTCACTGGACTCTGAGCATGCTGCTTAAAAGCAGACATTACCCCTCAAAGCCGCAGAAATCTCCCCCACGGCCAGCGAGAGGCCATTAAAAAGACTGGTCCGGACTGGTCCCCGCAGCTGGCAGTGGATTTTAAAGCCACATACAGCAGTCGGCGGGAGCTTGACAGAGCGGTGGAGAACCTACCTTCACATTTCTTCTGGCCAACCAGCTGGTAGCCCTCAGGACACAGGCACTCGTAGCCAAGCTTGAGATCTTTGCATATGTGGGAGCAGCCGCCTTTGTCGGCCAGGCACTCATTTGTATCTGGAAGGAGACCGACTCGGTGTGAGCTGAAGAGCTTTGCTCAGCATCGTCACCTAGCCCGCCCGTCCCTCCAAGGCCATTGAGACACCGCGCTGGCCCCAAGCAGAGGCACTGACCGCCCCCTTTTCGAAACCCACCCGAGAGTCTGTAGGATCCAGCATTTCAACAGCAAAGGCGAGAGAGCCAAATTGCAAGAAACTTGGGATCCCAGCGGTGCTCCCCAGAACGGGCGATGCCCTCCTCTGGCCCAACGCGAGACAGAACAAACTCTTACCGCACTCCTTGATGGGCTCGTCGGACCAGTCCCTGCAATCCCGCTGCCGGTTGCACACTTTGTCCAGAGCGATGCACTCCCCAGAGCGGCACTTAAACTTGTCAGGCCCTTCGCAGGCAGTCACTGGAAGGAAGAAGATTCTCTTGAGTTTCATACTGGGCTTCTCTTGCAAGAGAGACGAGCCCAGGATAGCTGCTAGAGCTGGAGAGGCCTGCCAGCGGACTCTAGCAGTGCAGAGAAAGGCCAGGGCTGGGTGTTCACTCTTCCCTCTCCTCCGGCTAAGAGCTCAGCACAGCAGCTCACTCCACATGGAAGTCCCACAGTTTTGCTAATCGATCGTTGTCCTGGACCTGGCTGGGGACTTTGGGAAGTGCTGGGTTCCGATTGTCCTGACATTTTGTTGACTGCTTGGGAAGTGTTTTACTTGCCCTCAAAGTCTTTGTTTTAAAGGGGTAAGTCAAATAAATCCGGAGCCGAAATCCAACCCCATTGTGCCACTTTGGCACAGGAAACCAGCGAGAAAGCGCAGAGATCTTCCCAGCGGAGGATCCCCTTCCCGCCATGTAGAATAAAGCCCCTTTCCATCACTCTGGCAATGGAGGGGCCTTAAAACGGTCACAGGGTTTATGCTCCTGGGGTAATTGACTGAGAATGGGAACCGTTAACTAACACTAGGGACATAAACAATGTTCCTGGTAGGCAGGCTGCTACATTGCTGCCTCTAGCCTGCCTCGTGCATAACAAACAGCCCGACCCTGCCGTGCCAGCCAGCTGCAGCAGCAAGGGACAGGGACAGACTCGGTCTCTCTCTCGTCGGCACACGTGTACACCCAGCCCTGCAACCCCCCCCCCCCCCCCCCCCCCCCCCCCCCCCCCACCCCCCGACAGTGACCAATCACGCAGGCACGCACGCCCAGCGCCCCCTCCCGTCTCTGAGGCTGCTCCGGGCACGCTGGAACAGACATGCTGCCAGGGAAAAGGTGCGGGTCCCCGGCAGATTTTTTTGCATTTTTCTGCCCCCATTTTCCCTGCCAGCCTGGGAATCCAGGACCCTGTCTTGAGCCAGACACACCCGTCTGCTCCAACACAGACCCAGGTCTGAACCACGTGCCCCAAAGCTGCAGACTTAACTGAAAGCCACTTAAGAAGTGTTCCTGTCTTTAACACCCAGATGCCCAATTCCCAATGGGGTCCAAACCCCAAATAAATCCATTTTGCCCTCTATAAAGCGTATACAGGGTAAACTCATAAATTGTTCACCCTCTATAACACTGATGGAGATATGCACAGCTGTTTGCCCCCCCAGGTATTAATACATACTCTGGGTTAATTAATAAGTGATTTTATTAAATACAGAAAGTAGGATTAAAGTGGTTCCAAATAGTAACAGACAGAAAAGTGAATTACCAAGCAAAATAAAACAAAACATGCAAGTCTAAGCCTAGTACAGTAATAAAACTGAATACAGATAAAATCTCACCCTCAGAGATGTTTCAAGAAGTTTCTTTCACAGACTAGACACCTTCCTAGTCTGGGCACAATCCTTTCCCCTGGTTCAGCCCTTGTTCCAGCTCAGGTGGTAGCTAGGGGATTTCTCATGACTGCAGCCCCCTTTGTTCTGTTCCACCCACTTATTTCTCTTTTGCATAAGGTGGGAATCCTTTGTCCCTCTCTGGGTCCCACCCCCTCCTTCTCACTGGAAAAGCACCAGGTTAAAGATGGATTCCAGTTCAGGTGACATGATCACATGTCACTGTAAGACTTCATTGCCCACTTGTAAGTCTTCCTGTATACGTGTGTGCTGGCAAGTAAAACACACCCATCTACAGTCAATTGTCCTGGTTAATGGGAGCCATCAAGATTCCAAACCACCATTAATGGCCCTCACTTTGCATAATTACAATAGGCCCTCAGTTATATTTCTAGTTTCAGATACAGGAGTGGTACATTTAGACAAATCGGATGATCACACTCAGTAGATTATAAGCTTTGTAATGATACCTTACAAGAGACCTTTTGCATGAAGCATATTCCAGTTGCATCATAGTCACACTCCTCAGCATACTGTCATAAAATCACAGAGTGCAGCGTCCCATAGGCACTGCTTGTGACTGCAGAAGCTTGTTCTGCTAGAGATTCTGGCCAGAACGGGAACTATTGGTCTCAGAACAGCTTGGAGAGCAGCGGTGACCCAGCTCAAGCCAACAAGAGGCGGCCCTGGGCTTGTCGAATGCCAGGTCACGCGGGGGTCTCGGACGGGCCCACCCCGCGCCACTCACCGTTCTCGCAGCCGACCTCGTCGCTCAGGTCTTTGCAGTCGTACTCCTGGTCGCATTGCCGGCTGCCGTGCACGCAGGCCCCGTCGCTGCACTGAAACTCGTCCGGGCGGCACGTGGGCTTCGCTGAGGGGACGGAGAGGAAGGCAGAGATTTGGGAACCCAGCCACAAAGGCAGCCGGCGCGGGGTTTCCCGCTGCCCGGGGAAAGCCAAGGCGGGTTTCTACCCCGCTCATTCGAGGGGTTTTATTTAAATCCGACCCCAAAGAGCACATGGCGTCTCTGGGCTGGAGCCGGCCCCGGTGGGAGCATGCGCCAGCTGAACGAGGGGTCGCGTGCCAGGAGGCAGGTGGGCGATGTGACTATCAGATCAGCCACTCCCAATTCATCCCCTGAGCAGGGTCAGCCCAGGAGACGGCCAGGCAGGGACGGGGTCACTAGCCTCGGTTTGCCAGAAGCTGGGAGTGGATCACACAATAATGGCCCTGTTCTGTTCATTCCCCCTGGGGCACCTGGCATTGGCCAGTCAGTAGACAGGGCACAGGGCGGGATGCACCTTTGGTCTGCCCCAGTCTGGCCGTTCTTACGGCAAGGCCAGGTTTCCCCGCCCCCACCATGCTTCAGCCAACATGCGCCCACACCAGATCAGTGTCCGGGGCGGTCCCAGGCCTCGCCCGAGGCACTACAGCCAGTTGGGAGGGGGGAGACTGGGAACAGGTGTCAGGCCTTCCCCGCGCGGCTAGGAATCGGCAGCTCCCGGGCCCCGCCCGCCGTACCACAGTTCTCCTCGTCCGAGCGATCCCGGCAGTCCAAGCCCCCGTCGCAGCGCCACTGCGCGTGTATGCACTCCCCGGAGCCGCAGTGGAACTCCAGCGGCGAGCAGGGCCCAGGGGCGGGGGCCGGCCGCCCACCGCAGTTCTGGGGCCACTCGTCGGAGCCGTCCGGGCAGTCGGGGTCGTCGTCGCAGGCCCACAGCTTGGGGATGCAGAGGGAGCTGTTGCACTGGAACATGTCCGGGTTGCAGGTCGGGGCGGGGCAGTCGGCCTCGTCGCTCCCGTCCTCGCAGTCGTGGTCCTCGTCGCAGACGAAGGCCAAGGAGAGGCACTGCCCGTTGCGGCACTGGAACTGGTCGTCCATGCAGCGCTTCGGGGCTGGAGAGGGGGCAAGACGGGGGGGTGATCAGCAGCCCATGCCAGGGGGGGCTGGAGAGAGGGGCAAGGCGTGTGTGGGGGGGTGATCGGCGGCCCACACCGGGCGGGGCTGGAGAGAGGGGCAAGCCAAGGCGGGGGGTGGGGGTGGGAAATGAGTGGCCCATGCCGGGGGGGCTGGAGAGGGAGACTTGGCCCCTGTAACAGCCTGGGAGGCTGTTCCCAGAGCGAGCTCAGCTCCGTCTACGCGTGCAGCGGTCACACCTCTGACTGCAGCCTAGGCACCAGCCCTGGTCGACGTGCAGCGAGGTGCCCGAGGTCACAACAGAGCTGGGGATAGGACCCAGGAGGCCTGACTCCCAGTTCCCCCTGCTCTAGCCACTAGCCCCCCCCCCCCCCCCCCCGCTGGGCGCAGACCCCCCCCCCCCCCCAAATCATGATTCCCAGTCTTCCCCTAGACCAAGCCAGTCCCTCCAGCACCAGAAACTCCCGCACGCCTGCTCGGACGCCAGGCCGTGCTCCATGGAAAGCCCGGCGTGCAGGACGTCCTGTTAGAGCCGTCGGCTCCAGGGGCCAGAACAGCCCCAGCTCCGACGCCGAGCGCCACGTACCGCAATCCCGCTCGTCGGCGCCGTTCTCGCAGTCAGCCTTGGCGTCGCACCGCCAGGAGGCCGGGATGCACCGGTTAACGCGGCCCCCGCAGCCGAACTCCTCCGACTTGCACGTCACCGACTCTGGAGGAGACAACGACCAGGCACTGGGTGCAGGGGACACGGGGCTGGACGAGACCGTGAGGCCAGTCCCTGCTAGCACGGCCGGCCCTGGCATCTCACCCCAGCCAGCCCAGACTCTCCCTCCCTCTCCTTTCCGGCCGGTGCCGATGCCTGGCCAGTTGGTCCCCATTTCTTCTTGTGCCAACTTTGGCCTTTAACAGCTCTTCACCCTCCCCCGGGGGTCCCCCCCGCCCCCTCTCACTAGGCAGAGCCAGCCAAGCGCCGCGTCTCCTCCCGCCAGATCGGCCCTCGATTCCCCGCTCGGCCACCCGGAGCAGCTACTTACTGCAGGTCTCCAGCCACTCGTCGGACTCGTCCTTGCACTCTGGGCTGCCGTCGCACACCCACTTGGAGGGGATGCACTCGCCGTCCTGGCACCGGAACTCGGTCTGGCCGCATTGCTCCTCTGCTGCCAGGGACACAAGAGACCACCGGGTTAGCCGCGGAGAGGAGCCGCTCGGGAACGTTCGATCAGGAACCAGGCTGCATTGCCGGAGACGGACTAGACCCGGTAGGCCAAGTTCCAGCGAAGCCCGTAGTATCCCCCAGCTGCTTGTCTGCTGCAGCCGGAGAGAACGGGCCAGACCCTCCGCTCCGCAGCAACTTAGCTCCGCTGGTGAAAATCAGCATAGACCCACTGATGCCAAGGGAGCCATCCTGATTCACAGCAGCTGAGCATCCGGCCCCTAAACCCATCCGAGAGTGGGAGGGGCAAACCAAGCTCTCTCCGTATCGTTATCCCAGCTCCGACCGGATCCCCACTTTCCATGGGGATGGGGTCCCCCACTTGAGCGCAGCCACATTTTAAAGATCTTCATGGTAGATGCAGGGAGTGAATTTGTGGCTTCAGTGGGCTCAGACTTCACCAGTGTCTTTTTACAGCACCGTGTCCCCGTATGGTGCTACAGAACCCACCCGGGCACTGAGCGCGGCTGTGAAGCATAACCCAGCAATTCCCGGTCTCCCCACACCGGCTGAGCACTGAAGAATCGCTCCTCCAGCCTCAACCCCTTTCGCCAACGCAAGCAGACGCCTCGGGAACAGCGTCGCTGGAGAGGAAAGGAAGTTAACTCTCCTCGCCATCCACAGGAGACAGGGAGCTGGTGTCCAACCAGTGCTAAGAAACACCGTCACCAGACTAGAGACCCCCACTTCTTCCTGTGTCTGCCGACTGGTTTATCAAACAGCCACAAAATTCTCTTCTAAGCAGAAGCGTGTGTTGGGTCAGGGACGACAGCATCCATGAAGGGTCCGAGCCAGACCGAGGAGGGTCAGAAGTGCTATTGCATGGGATGAAAAGGATCCAGGGGCTGGAGGGGGAATTTCAGGGGATTGTTTAAATATTCTCTGCTTGGCTGTGAAAGCTACCAGAAGGAGCTGGGAGTTTTTGGTAGGAAAGCAGGGTACCTTTTCTGCTACAAAGTTCCCACGTCTTGGCTAGCGGCTACAAAGCACTCCGCGTGCTACCAGTCTAAAAGGGACCCAATGGGGCCATGCTCCGTGGCGCTGCAGGGGAACGGCGGCACGTGGAGAACACGGGGTTTAGGAGACAGAAGGCACCTTGCTCTGGTGGGACAGAAGCCGGACTTGAGAACAGAACGGCTCAGCCCTGCCAATGCTTGCCATGGCTTGGGATATTTGACAGCCTTTGTGAAGACCCAGCTTCTGGAGTCTGGTGATTTACATGCCTACCCCTTCCCCCCAAAATCAGCTTTAATTTAAAAGAGAAGCCATCTAGCCCCCTGGCTGCTGGGGGAATCTCAAACATGTCAGCCATACCCAAGGTCCTTCTTTGGCCCCCAGCACCAGAACAGCTGAGCACCTGACCGTGTTTAATGTCTTTATCCTCACAAACACCCCTGGGACGCAGGGTAGGGCCATTATCCAGGTGGGAACAGAGGCCCAGAGACTGGGCCAAGGTCACACAGGGGGTCTGTGGCAGAGCCAGGATTTGAACCCAGAGCTAGTGCTCTATCTGCTGGACCACCCAGGTCCTACACCAAGAGACGCCACTTTTAAGATCTCATGATTTTATGGGGCCCAACTCAGGATTGTGTGATCACAGAATCCTAGAAGATCAGGGTTGGAAGGGACCTCAGGAGGTATCTAGTCCAACCCGCTGCTCAAAGCAGGACCAATCCCCAGACAGATTTTTGCCCCAGATCTCTAAATGGCCCCCTCAAGGATTGAACTCACAACCCTGGGTTTAGCAGGCCAATGCTCAAACCACTGAGCTATAGCTCAAGGGACAGGCCGCTGCAGGGGCAGAGAATTACACTGAACTACAATGATTCGTGGGCACTAGGCCGTTCTGCCCTGGCAGGCTCCCGCCCCCCCATGGACCAGCCCCGGGGGAAGCACCTGACTGGCATGCGACACGCCCGGTGAAACAGACACACGCACAGCTCAGGCATGAGCTGACTCACGGCGCACTGGGTTTCCTCCCGCGGCTGCGTGTACGGTTACTACAGCTTCCGCTCTGCTACACGCCACCGAGTTTCAGCTGATTCACACGACCTCGCTTCACACACGCCCTTAGAACAGGGGAGTTGGTGTCACAGTCGTCACAGCGAGGAGGAGCCAGGATCACACCACCAGCGCCCGCCCGGGGCTCGGCCCAGCTAGTCATCTGCCGAGATAAGCTCTCAAAGGGCAAGTACTTTCCCTGCCTGGCTCCACCGCCGCCTCCGTGTTTGCCAGCCAGAGCCTTAGGCAAACAAGGCACCATCAGGGGACCGAGCCCTGGGGACATCTTGGAAATCTATTCCCTGCCTTCGCACGCACACCCGGTCGTGTCACCGGAGTTTAAATCCGGCGATCAGACGGCCTGAAGTAAAAACCGCCCCACACCCCCAGCTGAATTTTGCAGCTGTTGGTCCATTTCTAGTATACACCTCGTTACGGGTTTTGTTGGATTGCACCAATAAGGAGGGATAATGGCAGACTGGAGCCTTTCTAGAAGTCAATCTAGGATATAGCCGGCCCTGACCACAGCGCCCTTCCCAGGACCCGGAATGGTCACTGATTTGCAAATCGTGTGGCACTGAAACGGACGTGAGCCGGGCATTTTATCCAGCCTCGCTGGCTTATTTCACCTGGCGTCAGAACAAGAGTGATCCGACAGTAAGGCACCCCGAGAGGCGCTCGGTAACGTTCTTCCTGTGAAGGAGGAGACACAAAATGGCAACTGCGGCTCCAGCAGGAAGGCATTGAAAAGTGCAACCCACACACCACCTCTCCTCTCCTCTCCGGCACCACACGCCACCTGGGACTTCCCTTCTGTTTTTAACGGGGCTTTGCTTCACCCTTGGGAAGTTCACGGACACACAGCTCCAAAACCCTGCGCCTCTTGAGGGGAGCTGCAAAAACAGACACCACAAAGGCTACACCAAACAAGGAGGTCGGTTTAACTACGTCCATCAGGGGCAGGGAAAATCCACACCACTGAGCGCATCGTTACACTGACCCAAGTCCCCGCAGAGACAGCGCTAGGTTGACAGATGAATTCTTCCGTCCATCGAGCTACTGCCTCTTGGAGGGGGTCACCTGCGCTGGTGGGAGACTCTACTCTGCACACGTGTTTTAAGGGTAGACAGTCCTCAGACAGGGTTGTTGCTACACAGACGTCAGCTGATGGGCAGAAGGGATCTGTATCCAGGGAAGCCAGATCCCAGCAACGGGACAGTCGCCTAATGCGGTCCAAAGTCTTGGACATCAACCTCTAGAGCGGTCTACTTTAACCACACGCAGCCATGCCAAATGCTAGACTCTCGGGGATCAGAGCCCGGGCTCCTGTCCTACAGCCAGAGGAACCGTCCAGCAGGAGCTCGCAGCTCTGTCTGGCACTAGAGACATCCCTTGGTTTCACTTCACTTTGGAGACACGGCGGTTTCCCTATTCGATGCTGCCCGGGAACATACATGCACTCGCTTAGCTTTGGGGCTGCTCCCCCAGCAGAGCTGAGCCCACCTTTCGGGCTTTTCAGGAGCAGGGCCCGAGTACGTCCACTCGCCTGGGGGGAGCTTTTAGGGGCTCATCGCCAAGTGGAGCGTCACTTGCCGATTTCAACGTTTTCTGCCCCTCGCACGCCGTAAGGGCAAGAACCGTACAGCTCGGCCACACCACGGTAATGCTGAGCCGACACAGAGCTTTAACGTGGGAAACTGGCCGGGCCCAAGCAAGGTTACGAAAAGGATTGTCGGGCACAATTTGCAACAGCGCTGCTCAATTTCCAGTCAAGGCAGCCTACTTCCCTTTAACCCATTAGCATGAACCCAGCAAGAGACGGAGGCTGCTCGAAGGAATACTCCAGTCAACGCACTGCAAGAGAAAGCCACTCGTTCGGCTTTGCCCAGGGAGGCCCCGGCTGCTGTTGACTGCGGAAGAAGAGCAACCCTCCCGAGGTTTTCATCTCTTTGTACAGCGAGGGGTGCAGGCTGACCCCCAGCATTGGTGCTGGGGATTTACGTGCTGTACAACTAAACCATGCCACACCATTTTATTGCCGTGCCAACAGGAAACTGGAAAGCACTGAGGAGACATTTCGACCGCTGAGCCCCAGGAGAGGAGAGTCAGCTGACAAGACTCTCAGAACAGATTTTCTGAACCCAGCCTCGGGGCAGCCAGCATCCCATCGGCCCATGGTCACCTGACCCTGGGACTGGGTGGTTTGCAGATGGTATTTTGGAAGAGACGCTGCCACATTGGTCAGCACAGGCGCCCATCTGAGAAACCCTTTGAAATTTACATTAAAAAGGGTAAGCAACTCAAAAAAAACCCCCACCCCACTTCTTTTTCAAATCGACATCCTCAGTTCTCGTCCCTAAAAATCAAATTAAAAATTAATTTCTTGTTTCTAGGACTAGTCGAGAAAAATATCCATGTCACCACTAGGCAAGAATTCCTTGTGCTCTCCACGCTCTCTGTGCAGACAGCAGATGCGTGTGGCAGGACAGTAAACTCGGCAAACTTTAAATACTTCTCACTGCAGAACCGTGATGTTCTATTTGCTCCAGTTGTAGATTTAGGGCTGGATTTTTTTTGGCAGCTCAAGTCACCCTTTCACGTGACAGCCGATTTCTAACCCACTTCCACGGCAGGTTCCACTTTGCTACAGACTGTTAGCAAGTCCCGGTTATAGAAGCCTGCAGCTACTCTCCATTTCAGCTGTCTCATGTCACAAGTTCAGGATAAAACATCACTCCAGCCCCTGCCTAGTTTGTAAGAATGCCTGGAATACAGTCAAATTCCTCAAATCACTGGCAAAGCCAACTGCAAAGCTCCTTTGCCTGGCACAGGAGTCTGGAGCATCACCTCCCTGTAGCAACGGCATCGTGCCCTTGACAGCACCTGGAAGGATGAATGAGTAACACTCACTCCAGAGGCTGTACTCGATCCAAAAAGCCATGTGCATTCATTAGTGGCATTTTGCTGTGGGTCGCACTGGACCACGAGCAATTGAAACCCAGCGTGTCTCCATTCAGCCTTCAGAAGGAAGCTGAGAAGCAAGGGAACGGATCCAGAGGGCCTGGAAGGCTTTCCTGGAATCACACTCCAGAAGACCAAGGGCACGAGGCAATTAGCACAGATGGCAGGAGTCCAGGGTGGGGGGAAGAGGGAAATCTCACATGAGCCAGGTTTGTAAGATGAACAACGAGTTTCCTGCCCTACATTCCCTACAGATTACCGTGCCCTGGTGAAATCAGAGGCCAGGCTGGGTTTGTAGGGGAGTGACTCCGCCTGTCGCTCGAGTTAAATGAACGCTATAGCAACACCTGCAGCTAGTAAAGATCCAGGTGCTCCCCTACAGTAGCTTTAATTCCAGTACACCCCCAATGTACAGCAATGGTGGCTATCCAGATCCAGTGTTTGCACCCAAGGGGGGGGCTGTGGATTCAGCTAACTAGGATTTTGGGCTACAGAGATAACTGGGAGAGCACGGCCATGCTACAGCGACACCTGTGGCTGCTGAACATACAGGTAGATATTTCCCTACAGAGGCGTAACAACCATCTACAAATTCACACACCACCGAGTTTCTTGGACAGAGCACAAGTGCCCATCCCCTGGCTGCAGAGAGCAGTGCCTGAGGAGAGGGCTGTGTAAAAGCCTCCCATGCAGGAGTGAACTCTTGGTTCAGGATCTCTCTCCACCCCAAAACCATGCAAATCTCCGGCCAGGAGCATTTAGAGATCTAGCAAACACTTCCAAAGCGCCAACGTGCAAACCACACTGCTAGACACTCAAGAATGCGGAATATGAAATTTTGCCCGCCACCCGACTTTGCCCAAAAATGGGGGTGAGGGTGGGGGTTGTCATAAAAAGACTGCAGTGAACCACCACTCAGGGAAAGCAAGGAAACGCCCATCTGACACTCAATGCAACATGCATTTGGGTGCAGACAAAGCCCTTCCGAACAGGTGCCCGTTCCCGCACACAGGCGCGGGATGCTGCCAGGACGGAAAGGTTTAGCCCCTTGCACTGGTGTAAGCGAGGACACGACGCAGAGCGACGCAGGATCCTGGCTCAAAGCGCCGAGCACTCTGGGGAGGACACGGAAACGCGCCGGCGTACCAGGAACAGGCCTGGAGGGGTCACACTGGGAACAGCCGTCGGCATTTCAAAGCAGGGCCCCTTGGACACACACGCCGCGGGCTGCCTGACAAGGGGCTTTGGCCTCGGGGCCGTGGCCCTGAAGCTCGTTTATGGATTTTGAGAATCGGTGACTAAGGACAGCGCCGGGCTGCAGCTCCCCGGGGCCCTGCCACAGTCAGGGTGACCACTCGCCGCCCCCCCACCACCACGTCTGGCTTGGCCACAGACAGGAGTATGGGGATCAGCCGCAACCCCAAGTCAGCAAAGGGGCCGACGCCCCAGGTCCCCCTCCCCCTGGCTGGGGTGCAACTCTGGCCACGGGTGGGGTGGGGGACACCTGCACCATGGGGCTCTGGGGGGAGGCAGCCCTGGGTTGGGGGGGCAATGGGATTGGGGGGGTAGTACACAGTGGGGGGCTCATGTGGGGAGGGGGTTTGATGCAGACGCTATGAGGGGGGGTCATTGAGAGAGACCCCGGGGAGTCAGGGGGTCATGTGGGGAGGGGGGCTCCTAGGCTGGGCAGCGCCCCCCTCAGCTGCCATTGGCCAGAGGGGGAGGGGCCACCCCGGTGGCCAGTTGCAGCCACAGCCAATGAGCGAGGGGAGAGCCCAGACCGCGGCTCCTCCCCCTTCCCTTCCCGCCCATCCTGGTGGCCCCCCCCCCCCCCGGTTCCCAATCCCCCCCCCCCCCCCCATGTTCTCCAGTCCCCTCCCCACCCTGACAGTGCCCCCCACTGTGTGAAACCTGTTACCCCCCTCAGAGCCCCCACACACCAGGCACCCCTCCCTTCAGAGCCCCCATAACGCCACCACATGCCCCCCACCAAGCACCCCTCAGACCCCCCATGCACCCCCAGATCCCCTCCCAGAACCCCCCATTGGCCTCAGACCCCCACCATACACCCCCTCAGAGCCCCCAGAACAGCCACCACATGCCCTCCACCCCTACTATGCCCCCCCCAGATCCCCACCCAGCACCCCCCATTCGCCTCAGAGCCCCACCAGGGACCCTCCACCTTACACCCCCTCAGAGCCCCCCAAAACAGCCCCACCAAGCACC